TGATGCTTCCACCGGCTTCGTCCCCTCCTTCAGACCCCTCCACAGGCGTGAAGCCTGTCATCGTTAATCTACCAAAGCATGAAACTAAAGCAAGATCAACTTTGTGCCTTTAGGATCAGCCCATTAACTGGCCATAGATATATAAAATTTTGCAATCATTTTTTTAAATTATTATTAGTTGTGTTGCGGGAGCCCTGGGGCAAAGCCTTTGGTTGTTTCCCCCTGGGTGGATCATACAGAAGACATTAGGGCTTTGGAGTTGAAGAAATCTTGTCCATGAAGACCAGAAAGAAGTATAAGAGTGCTCCTGGTACTGATTTTGACCCTGCTGAGGGTCATCAGTCCATGGTTGATCTTAAATGCCATGCAGTTTCCCACATCAGGATGCATGCCAAAAAAGCATAGAAATGAGCTGACGTTGGTTTGCTGGGTAAGAAAGGGAGAACCGCTGTTTCAAAGATGTTGACCTCAGTGAGGTACAGCACAAATGAGGCAAGCCTTTAGAGGATTTTTGGACCAGCTTTAAGGCGATTCTCCTGAAAAGGCAACAGAAAAACCCTGGAAGAGAAAGCCTTTTGGGAAGATGGGCTGCCAAATGAAGCACTCCAGATACCAAAAAATAGCTCAGGTTGAACTTTTAAATTTTATCCCCAAATGAAATGATTCATTTCTACTTTCAGAATGTAGAATCTGGTTACGTTTTTTTTCCCTCTTAAAATCTCAGCCAGTTTTAAGCAAAAAGTTTTTCTATTAAGGCAAACAAGCAAAAACCCAAACAATTCAAAATCAGGGTTGGCTCTAACCGTGGGGACAGCGAGGTCCACCCCCACCGGGGTGACCTTTCTGGGCTTTACCTCTCCCCGCACTGCCCGGGCAGCCGTGGCCCACGCCAGCGCCCAGCCCGGGCCCCCAAAACCACACACATGCCCCACGCAGAAGCCACAGCAGGGATTTGTATCCCAGCGTTGCAGAGAGGGGTCTGCGACCGCTCAGGCTGACTGCAGAAAGCTGTGTTGGAGGAAGTTCCCCCAAACCCGGCTCTCCTGCAGTTTCGTTCACAAGGTGACTGGCAAGAACTTGTCGTTGATCTCCCTGTATGTCCCTCCCTCCCCACCTTATACGATAATGCCGCATAAAGCAAATTTTTGCGTTGAAAAATACACAAAAAAAAGCTGCAAGGCCTTTTATCAAGCTTTTTTCCAGTTCTTACCTTGTTAGCATCAACCTGATAATGAATAAATTATACTGTTCTTATTGTCCATGATATTATTCTTCTAACCCTACTACAATTTGTTTTTTGTTGAGATTCTCCACCAGCTTTTCAGCGCTATAGCCACCATTTGCAAAATGACTTTTAAAATGTGCACTTGAAGGATTTTGACTTTTTAAAAAACCTCATCATCATTAGCACAAAACATCAAAAACCTTTCTTTTTTTATAAAACGATCTGTAAAACTGAATCAGGAACTACTTGCTGTTCTGTCATCCTCTTCCTTCGGCCACCCCTAACTTGCCCTCTCCCTCCCACAATTTTCGGGTTGCACTCTCTGCTCTGGAAAATTGTGGGTCTTCTAACCTGCACCTGCCTTTTCTGATGAGCAACCTGAAATCTGAGCCATTGGAGACGGGATTTTATGCCTTGAACTTCTCAGATAGGCTACCAGAGAAACAAGGACTCAGAATTTCACCCTTTGAAATCATATTTGGAAAACCAGATCTAGGGCCAAACCTCTTCTCTTGGGACGCTGCTACTCAGCGGCTGGGAGCCGGCTCTGCAATCGAGGTATTTTTGGAAAAGGCCAATGGAAGCGGGCAGATCACACTTCCTAGGGGTTTTATCTGGTCGTCCAAGGCTTCCGAATTGATACGGAGGTTCTAGCCCCACATGTGTGACCAAGCAGTTACCCATATATGGATAACTGCATAAGCTCCAGCAGAGATGCAACACCTGGATCAATAACTTCAGCGACTGATTAGCAATATGCCGGTAGCAAGACCTTGCAACAAAAGTGATAAGTGACAAATTTGAGGAGTTTTACAGTACTAATGCTTGTTATTGCTTCTCACAAAATGTTACCAAGCTTACAATAATCTTTACACTTTCAGCAAAAATGTGAACAGTATATTTGAATATATTAAAAAGAATTAAAAAAACATTTCACAAAAAACATTTGTTGCCATATGAAAGTCTTTCAGCAATAAATGCCCACACCAGTATTTAAACATTGTTAAAAGTATAATGATTTGTACTAATAAATTATGCAACAAGAGAGGTAAACAAAATAAAATTACAGTATAGCTCTCCATCTTCCTCCACTGAGTGTCCGCAGCTCTTGGAAGCTCCATTTTAGATGACTAATTAAGAAACCGATATTGTCAGAGCAACAAAAATAAAAGCTTTTATTTGTTCATTTGAATATAAAACAGGCGTTATCACAGATGTACAAAGCGTACTGGTGGTTTAACATACAAGAAGGTTGCTGTCCTTTGCACATAAAAATTTTTGTTTGAAACTGTGATTGGCTGAGTTACATGAATTTCTCTAACCAGTCACCACACTCTATGAAATAACGCTGCTAACATTCAACTGATAAAAGGGACAGTCTTCCCTTGGGTAAAGTGTCAAGCAGGATTAAATATATATAATAAACAAGCACCATGAGGAATCTGCTCCTGTTTGATTAGTTTTGTGTTTAAATGTTCATTGTGTACCCTCTTTTTTTGTGCATGTGCATCAAGTTGATTACATGGTTTTGTCTGACTCCAAAAGCACAAGGTCACAAGACAAACATTTTATACATTCTCATGAATGGTTTATCTACAGTACAATTTCTAATACAGAACAATCCTTCTTTATTGCTCAGTCTGATGGTGCTTAAATGTTTCCTTCCTTTTGCTTGCACAACAAAACCAGAAACTCAGTTTATCATTTCTCTTAACTCAGGATTTAACAACCACGGATGACAGGTTGCAGAAGAGAGCTGTTATTAACTGCGTTTCACAACTGCATTGCAGTTCTTTTATTCTCTACAAATGCAAAGTTGACTTTGAGAAGGTTAAAGTGATGCTTTGAACGACAGCGAGATTTGTTTTGCAGTACTGAGATCAGCGATAGCAGGACTTCACAAGTTAGTTCACACACTGCAATTATGTTTGTAGTCAATCAACATCTTGTCTGAAACCTTACAACAACTTGCCATTAAGAACAGATTTTATTCTTTTTAGAGAGCAGAAAATGAATTTGACAAAATATAGGATTGGTCTGCAGCGCATGAATAGGGCTATTCACAGGACAGTGAGGGCGGAAAGGATGGTCTGAAAGAAAACGCGTCTGACATGGCAAGATGCTCTGTACTGTACATGCAGACTAAAATGTCCCTACCTTTTAAAAAGATTTTAAACACCCAGCATTGAGACTCCCTTATACGTGATATAAACATGATTACATTTGCCCTGCAACAATCTTAGTCATGCATATCCGGTAATGAGAGCCAGCACATGAACGTCATTTGGGACAATAAGAAAAGCATTCTTGGACTGCGGCTGGTAAATCCCACTCTTGATCACAAACAGGTCAATTCAGTTACACCCATATGAAGGAAGGGGAAGGTTTTAATAAAAGGGGCACAGGGTGCAGGGAAGACAACAGAACTGGGGAATCAAACCTCTCTTTTATCCAAAGGTAGTAAAATGAAGGCAGCTGTGATGCATGTTTTCCTACTCTTCTCCCGTGATGGCCTCAGATCGGAGACCGCGGGACTCCTCCGTTCTTTAAACAGGCAGATCGGTTCCTCTGATGTTTCAATGCGTTTAGGGACTAGTTAGCAGATGCACGATTCGTGCCAAATCAGTTGTAGTGACTGTACGCTCCTCTCTGTTAAGGAATAAATTAAAGACCATCGAAACAATCGTTTCCTGTAAATGTAAACTGGATGCATTGGCCACCGAGCTATGTGTCCTAGCTGAGAGGCAAACTGATAACTCTGTGCAAATAACCCCAAAATTTTCCTTATAGCAATAAAAACACCAACTAAAACAATGAAAAAAATTGTGCAACAAAGTTCTGCAGCTAGACAACAGTGCTATTCCTCAACCTGCCTTTTCTAAGTCTAACAAGTGTATGCACATGCCAGCACGAATATTTATTGTTGCCTCCATGGCAAAGAAAAGAAAATTATTGTAGTGCATTTTTAGTCTTAAATTCATTCACTGCCTTAAAGGCAGCAATAATTCCACTTGCTGGTATCTAGAGGATTCTTTTCGACAGGGATACTTAGCAATCCAGGATTGCTTTTTTTTCAAAAAATTTGTGAGTAACATTTGATTATCTACAGTGGGAGACACCATGCAAGTGACAAGTACTGCATTTTAAACTTTAAAATCTTTTGTCATTAGTGAATTTATATTTCATATATATATATTTGATGTGATACTATCCACTCAAGATAATACAACACTTTGTTTTTATATTAGCAAACATTTCAAGAGTTTAATATTCTTGAATGTTTTTCTCTTTTATACTTCTAAAGAGATCAAAATAAATTAAACGTTTTGTACATAATTACAGAAGAAGTAGTTAACTTATTTTATCTTTTTAGTTTAGTACAAAGATATTTGCAAGTTCATTGCCGAAATACACCTTATTTATAAATTTCTTCCATTCTAACGCTAACAGCAAAGGCTCTTTGGCCTCTGGGCTTTCAGCATCTCTGACAGAAAGCTGCAAGGTTTCTAATTGAAAGGTGCTACTTTGGGTATTCTCCTCGTACCACTACATAGTTTCCTAAGATGTGGGATCTAAAATGGCTTCAGTTAGTAACGGATCTGTATTCATCAGCTTTTTATGACATATTAAAACAAATGAAGAAAACAATTATTTGTATTAGTATGCAAATTGTTTTAAAAGAATCCATTTGGAGGGCAGAATAAAAAAAAAAATCTACTTCAGCTTACTTAATGTAAAATACAAAGCCACATTTACTCAAAAAGCAGTATTGTCCAATAAGCAAAAAAAAAAAAAAGTTTAAAATGGGCTTTTCCAACACACGGAAGGGCCTTACCCCATAGTCCTTCTTTTCTAAAATTTAGTGGTAAAAGAAAACATTTCACATTTTATTTCCTGCCAATCGTGACTGCTTTGAAAAGTCGTAATAGAAACAGTTCCATTCTGATGAGTGTCAGCATCTTATCTGCACACTTTTTTAGTGGACACCAAAAAATTTTATACATCTATAATAAAGTCCATGGAAGCTTTAAGGTACAAGACTACATGTTGTAGGCCACATAGATGGGATCTAGCTGGTCTGCCAAAAATCCATCTCGTAGGTGCATACGTTGTTTCTCTCCACGGGAGTTGATAGGAATTACACCAATGTCCACAACCACCACCACCCCTACAATCAGATAATGTTCCTCCAGGACCACGTTGGTGACCAAAGGAACCAGGTCCAAAGCTTCTTGCTCCGATCCATCCAGCTCAACTACAACGACCAATAAATTTGTCCAGGTAAACACCGCACTGGAACAAAAAAAAAAAAAAAAAAAATTAGTGGTGTTTTTTTTTTACCCATTTCATTTTTTACCCTTTTCATTCCACCTTGGTTACCTTTTGTTTCAACTCCTAGGGCTCCTTCTGATGCTCACCACAAAGTGTAAGTAGCAAGAGAGAACATGACTGCAGGCAGGGGCAGAAGAACAGCCCCACCAGCTCTCACTTCAATATTGCTGCAATACTAAGTATTGGGCTAAACTCTACAGAAACTCGAGTCTAATCCTCGCCCGTCATCTAAGGAGGTAGTAAGACAACGTGCGGTTCCCTCTGAAGCCAGAGAACTATCACAACACTGCTGTGTTCATGAAGGCATGCAGGAGCGCTGTGTGGGTGGAGGTGTCTTCTCTGGGGTTTTTTGAAAAGCAGCCCAGAAGAGCAAAGGAGGTTAAAAGAGGAGGCACCAAAAGGAACAGCAGGAACATAGTCTGAGCCGAAAAGATCTTTGGGATAAACTGCCTAGTGAAGGGGTGCAGAGCCCTGGGAACGTTTACATGGCATATTGCAGGCTGCACAGCACTCCCCGGGTGGCCGGGGAGGGGGCTTCCTCACTTGCACGGTGCTAGGCTAACATGGCTACGGGCCTTCTGGACTGGGCCGGCTGCTGTCCAGGCAGGTCAGAGCTCAGCACAGAAGAGCTGCAATTCTTCTGGACGAATTGGTTTATACAGAAATAAGCAGCGTCTCCATCTATTTTATTTCGGCTGTGTTTTATTTCTGTTGGGTTTCAGGGGACAGGAGTTTTTACATTCCTTATTAACAGGTGAGATGGTCAAGGGAACACGATTATCACCAGTATCTCCTCTTTACTAAGAGAACTTCACAAAACCCCCAAATTTTGGTTAAGCCCTTGAGCCCAAGCAGGTAAATTTTGGTTTCTGCTACTGGGCATCTTTTCTGGCTAAGAATAATGCATTTATCCTTCCAAACATGGAGGGTGGGAGGGTATGGCAGTCTGGTGTATGTTTCCCTCCATCCTCCTCCCCATGTCTCAACTGTCTCCAAAGCCTCTGAAGTCTCACAGGAGGTTAGCAGGACTAAGGCTCCACAAAGAGCAATCTCATTCTTCCTTGCAGGTGTTTAAGACACAGACAATGGTTATTTCTTCTTCTAACTTATTCCATAGCATAAATAATAATATTCTACACATGTAACTCATACATCAAGCCCTGTACTTTACCCTCCATTACCTTATAAAATCAGGGGATAATTTCCCAGAACTGTCTTGAGCATAAGCATCTGAAAGTTAGAATATATTATGTATATAAGACAACTTCAAAAAGAGCTACTTATGCTACGGTCAACGCTTGATTGGGACAGAAGTGCACTGTTTTAGTCTACTAAGACAATTCTGAAAATCCCTGTACTTTGCAAACATATCTTACTTTGCCCAAAAGTTAGCTATGAAAGTGTGCTCTACATTGATGCTTAACAGAGTGGATTTTAGGAGGAAACTACTTACTATTAAAAAAAAATCATTTTCAGATCCTGCCAAAGTACTATTTGATTGAATTCTTATGCGCTTATTGATCTGGAAAACTAATGGGCAGCCAAAGCAAGGCTGTGCAGGCTCCTTTTGACAGTACTGTTAGGAAATGAATTTTAATTTGTAATTATGTTTTTACAGATGTTCTAGTAAGTTTTGATAGATGCTGAATATTAACAAAGTCAAGTATCAGTCTGCACAGGTGACCATCTCCAGAGAGGTCCTAGAATTTTTATGGATTGCTGTACAAACATTTAAATTAGTATTATATATATTTTAACAAAAAAGCCTGGGGAGGTTTTATTAAAATATAAGTTAGCACTTGAAACCATGCCTTAAACCTACTGTTAGCTTATTACTTGGGAAACCAATTAATGGCAAAATTCAGGAGCAGGTCCCTAAAACATGGCTTAGGAGAAGTTAGTTTGTCCGAGTTCAGAAGACTGATTCCCAAAACCTTCCTGAAGCTTCTATTAAGTCCTAGAGCCATTGAGACTCCTAAGAGGGTTTCAATTTAATTTAAAACTCATTTCAGATGTCATGATTCTAACTCACTGGTGACCACTGTAAGTACAAGAAAATATTGCCCTTTACGTTCCCACCAGTTGATATGAAGATATATTGGCCAGCATGTATCACTTATGAATACATTAACTTTCTAGCCCTGATGAATAATTAGAAAAAAACCAAAAAACAAAAAACCAGGGACCCAGCAAGGCTGCACTTTCTCAAGAAATTATGGAGTCACACGCAATAGATGCAACACAGCCAATGCCCTGAGCTGGGAACAGCCCCTCCTGCTGCTTCCATCCCACCAAATGCTTCAGGAAAAGCAAGGAAGTTGTTGAAACATCTCCAGAGAAAGAGGCCCATAATGGTTTTCTTCTCCGAATATCTTGTGTAGTTTTACCTATTTGTCATTATGCAGAGAGAGAAAACCACTTCTTAGCAAATTCCAGGAAGGTATGTTCTGTTCCTCTTTCAAGTGTTTGAAGTTTAAATGAGTCAACAATGTGCTTTAATTAAAACACATACACTTACATTATTTCTCAAGATATTTTGCAGTATTAAAAACACTTTCAGAAATGCGTGGTGTAGTTATACATCACAATAAAAACAGACTGAGCTACTCTTTTCCTTGTTAAATATTTAGACAGAGGAGGTCCAGAGTCAGAGGTTGTTGATTTTGTGCTAAAATTTCTTAAGAGACAAGAATAATTTTAAATGACCTTTTAGATCTGATCTTCAATGACAGAAGTTGAGGATCACGTCAGTCAACAAGTTGCTGCCTTCCTCAGTAGCGTTAAATGCTACAAAATGAACATGTGTTTCTTGGAAGCTGAGGCTATTTTTACAATCTAGCGACTGGACATACCCAGTACCTTTTGTTTGCAATAGGTATCGATGCAGTTAAATCCTTAATGGGTCATTGTAACCAAAACAACAGCTGCCTCCAACAAGAACAGAGGCTCATGCCCCCATCCGAAGAAAGGCAAATACAAAATATATATAAAAAGAGTTTTAACCGGCTATTATTTTGTCAAGGGGTGTTTCACAAAGACAAGAGGAGGATCTCTAAGAGAAGCTGAAAGAGAGTTAAGTGAGAAAAGCCAAGGACAGTCAGGAGTGGGACTATGAATGAAAACTCCATGATGGTGGCTTGAGAGAGCTATTAGGTAGAGCACTGGTTAGGAAGAGGTTGGGAACTGTGAGCAAACCACATGTTGTCGCCCTGAACTACTGTGTGTCCATTTTCTGCAGGGACCACATCCGAAAAACATCTAACTCATCAGCAATCTCTCTTCTTTGAGGAAAAAGCAATGCTGAAGACTTTCAGTTTTGGCCTTTGGGCAAAGAGTGGTAATAGTACAGCGTGTTTTCTGAAATCCTGCTCATGTGCCTTGTAGTTTATCACCCAACTACCGGGAAGACTTAAGGCACCGAGAATTATTTGCATGTATTTCTATCTTCTTGCGGAAATTCAGTGGCCTTTTTCTTCGGTCCTCCCAGCTTACCCCAACCCTTTTTTAGTTGCCACTATCCCACTCAGATTTCCATGATAATGGAAGGAAAAGGCTCCTCAAAGTGCTCTCAGTGGTCCTGAAAAAAGGAACATAATTTAAGCATTTTTGCCACTGAAACCCATGATGACCATTTCTGCAGTGTGATATGGCTACTTCATTCACTGCCCACGAGCTCACACTTTGAGGACACACAAATCTCTGACGAACAGGTACTGCTGAACACATCGATTTATGAATCTGTGGCAATCTTATAGCTTGATCTGAAAACTTTCCATCCACTGCTGATACTGTTCTGACATATTTTCAAGGAGAATTTCACAGCATCCTTAAAGTGTTCACTTTCGGACACAGAATCCGCCACCCTGTGTAATGGCTAGCTGGCACAAGACCATACCAGCAGTGGTGATGCTGTAGGGAGGAGGCAATAAGGCAAAACCTCAGTTACAGTGAGCCAAGCAATTAATTGCCTTCATTTTAACAGATATTTAAGAAAAAAGCAAGATGTTTTGACTAAAGAAACCAGGCCGGTCGCTGTGCTTCATTCTTAAGTTTACTGCTCCAGGCCACACCTTTGCAGCCAGGATTGGAAAGAAAAATGGAGAGTCACATCTTATACTTGCTAAATTGCTCTGGCTGTTGCGACAGGTTTGTTTTGGTTGAAAGGAGAAGAGCTGAGCTGAGGTTATAAAAAACCAACTACCTGACTCAGTCTTCTGATGCAAGAATAATGAAAAGCAATTTGTTCTCATGTCGCCCTCAAGAAATGATTACCTGCTGTGTGCATTTGATGATGTGATACATTGATTAAGACTACACCATTATTAACTCATAGATTTACTGCTTCAATTTCCATTGTGACCTTGATTTGATCATGCTTGATTTATTAATAACCAATTCAAAAGTAACAGTGTGTTCACTAATAAAAGTTTATTAGTGTGTTCATTTATTTGAAATGTTTGCTTGCTTACTCCTTCTAATAACAACACTCCTAAAGCTTGAACTTATACCAGTTTGCTTTTCCTGATTAGAATATAAATCTCAAACTCCAAGAAACAGGTACTGACCTACCTGAGAGCTGCATGGCTCTCTCAAATTAAGTTTAATCCTTCACTTGTACTTAAAACCACACAAAAAAAGAAACGTATTGAATGATCTTAGCAGAAAACAGTCCTTCCTGATTAAATCTGTTTGTGAAAAGTTTCATCCTAAGGACATATTTACAGCTGGGTTATAAATCCTGTGACCATCCTGACAGGCCATTTCCTGGATCAATTGCAATACCCAAGTAAAAAGCCCAGACATTATAGATGTTTCAGCTTTATATAAGGGCCCTGGTGTTACAGAATCCTTACCATTCTGTGATGCTCTTGTGTGCTCTAATTACAGAGGTTTCAATATCGATCGGATGGTATCTCATCCCTCGTAATTCCATGGCTTCATCTAATGCACCCACAACATAAAGTGCATCATGGCGTTCTGGTTATAAGGAAAAAAAATATTAATTATTCTATTCTCCAGTACATTAAATTACAAAAATGTTCACATTAATAAATAAGTAAAACAAGTGTAACATATATAAGTTATCCTCGAATTTCTGAAACCCCAAAGTGATTTCAGAACTAATGAGAATTTTTCATTACTGAAGTGCAAGGCAGAGCAGAAAGCAGAAGAAAGGAAGGCAGAAACACTATTCCCATTTGAAGAAGAGAAAGGTGGAAGTCTTTATCCAAAGACAGTGGCATAAATTCATGGTTTTCTCCCAGGTGGATGCAGAACAGACTCACTCTTTTTTAAGGCGCCCTAAATAGACAATAGGTTCCTTTTTTCTCTCTCTTTCTTTTGAAAGAGAAAGGATGGATTTGACCCTAACAGTATGGATGATGTTTTTCCAGTAGCTTTGAGATGGTCAGTACTGATACTTAAGGTGTATTACAAAGGTGTTTATCAATAAACTAGAAATACGTGCTATGTGCCAGATAGCAAATTGCTCATTCAGACAAATGGCAAGCTCTGGAGCGTAATGCTCTTATAGTACAAATTTTTACTGACTAAGAAAATAAATGAGGCTGAAATGACACTTTTAAAAAGATATTAGGCTGATAATAAACGACTGCATGTTAACCAGAAAGAAATAATATTCGCTAACAGACTTAAAAGCAGATAACTGGCTCTTATTACATTAATTTAGATAGTTGCACGGTTGTAATGTAATGGCAATATAACCTCTACCAATAATAAAGGGCAGAGAACATTCTGCACTGGGAGCTAAAAGTGGGAGGAGAACGGAGACTTAGCAACTCTTTGCCAGGAGAAGATTTAAGCCATTTGGATGCTTAAGTTGCAATATCCTCAGAGAATCCTGAATTTTCTCAAGGCTGGGCTATCATTATGAAATGAAAAAGGCCTGCGCAAGGAAGATGCTAACATAAGGACATGGGCAGCAGTTGTAATACCCACAGTGATTACTAAAATGCTTTCAGGTTTGATGAATTCACTCTTTGGCTGAATAGCGGCTATTCTAATTGCACTGACACCCGGGCCCCGGGATCGCTCCTAGAGGTGCTCGCAGCGTTGCTAGAAACCATACTTTGCCAACAGCCTTGACTGCCACCTCAGCCAGCTGCTGCTCGTGGCACCGTGCTCTGCAAAAATCACAGGAAAGTAACGTTCTCCCAAGCAGAGACTGCTGGCAGTGCTGGTTTGCTTACATGGGTACACGAGGTAAGGAATGTCATAAAAACACGTAACGAAATCCTGTACCTTCCTGACAGAAACCCAAACACCCCGTAGCTTCTCCTGCAGGCTGCTGCTTGTATTACATTTCAGTAACCAACCCCGCAGGTTTAAAGACAGAGAAATTTGAGAAATGGACAGCTTCTGTAAGTAAGTTTACAAGAGAGGAATTATCAAAGAAGAGGGTCGTCACCATAGGGACAGGGCTCAGACTCACAACAAGGCTTTTTCTATCTGCACGAATGCAGATAGATATTCCTGCGGATACGACTGCAAGAGCAAATGATGGCATTTAAAACTGCATTTCATATTTTTCAAGCTGAAGCACTTGGCACATTAACAGTGCCAAAAAGTCACTGGTGGGGGGGATTTATAGCACCTGAGGTACAGCAAAGGAAAAGCAACTGTTTCTGCGGGGAAATCTTGCCCTCTGTTTTGTTTTCTGATTATTTCAACTAAGGCTTTTTTGTAGTTCTCCAGGTTTCACAGATTGAACATGTCAGGTAGTGCAGGCCAAGAGACACAGTTCAGCCTCAAAATAATCCAAATTATGTGCATAGACCTAGATGATGAGAAATCTCTTACCTCCGTTTGCATCTGTGAGTTCTGTTCTTCTCAGGAACCCCAGATAGCCAGTTCGAGCCCAAATAGTCTGTGTGTCCCCAAAGCTGAGTCTTGAATTAAAATGGTCTGATTGCAAAGATTCATCTCCATAGATGGTAAAATACCCACTGGCATTGTGAGTGCTGTGAACCCATATCTAAGTTAAAAGCAATTATACTGGTATTAATTAAAGTAGCTTTCCAGAATGAAGCATTATTGAAAATTCTTGATGCAAATATTTTTAGTCATAGCTAGATAATACTATAATGCCTTTTAACACTGTTTCTGAACCCATAACTGACCCAGTTTTAGGCTCAGAGACCCCAACCTAACCTCGCTGAAGTCAGAGTATGGATCTGAGCCGTGCCTGGGGGAGAGGGACGCTGGACTCATGGCTGCAGGGACACCTGCCTTGCAGCCCTCTGGCCCCAGGTTAGCCAAAGACCTGCACAGCCTCCTTGAACAGCTCAGCAAGCTCTGAGGTCTGCTTGGTTATGGCAATTTTCAGAAGAGCCTATAGACCACAGTGCTCTTTCCATAGTGCCCCCGCTCCTGGTTCAGTGTATTTACTCCAGCAGGGCATCCTCCATGAACACCAGACAGATTATTTTAAAGGATGAGGCCAGGGACCTTCACCTATGGAGAAGGATTCATTTCATCTAACTCAAGGCATCATGGAAATCTTTATGATTTCATAGTAATGAAACCTTACAGATGAATCTCACAAATTAGATTATAGTTTTAATTATGACTAAGCAAATTCTTCATTTTATTAATTAGATCTTTAATTGCTCATTGAAAGTAACATTTTTTTCTCTCTCTAGAAATGTAAAACAAATTGGAAAAACATATAGCCTTGCTCAACTCAGCTAATGAGAGTACTTCAGTGCGTTGAAGCACAATGATTATAAAGAGAATAGCACTAGAAAACCATCTAACTGAAATTAGACTAATCAATAAACATTTTTCGTGTACGTTTCCATCAGAATTAGTGAAGCACCAAGTAGAAAATACAGTTAGAAAAAGCACATTTTTTTCAATTTTTTAACAAACGAGCTATTTTTAGTATTTATCAGGTATGTTACTAACAATTTTAATAACGATACAAATATCATGCTGCACACTTTATATACTATAAAGATCTATAGAATTCACAATTTTCTTAACCGGGCTTTTGATAAGACGTATTATACGAAACCATTGGCATGCAACTTTATCTCTGCAATTTAGTTCAGAGCATACAAAGGTTAAGTTTTCATGACTCACCTCACCAAGATGAGAATCTCCTAAGGGTCCCTTTGTTTCTGGATTAGCAATAATGATACGTACTCCTGGGAGGATCTATTGAAAGAAAACATGAGGCAGTAAGAAAGCAGATATCGGCTTATGCAATCATATGCTGACTCTTTGTCCCCAAAAAACTTTCATTAGAAACTAGAAGAAATCCTTAAAAAGTTAAAGTAGACTTATAACATAAGAAATTAAAATAGTCCATAGATGTAATAAATTCTGAGATATCTGGGAAATGCTACAAAACCTCTTCTCTTTGTGAAAGCTGTTCCATCATTAAAAACTCCTCAGAAATTGAATGTACACCTACAATACAAAAATCCTACCAAATGGCTCAAGTCTCTCTGAGAGTATATACTAGAATAGAAAAAGACAATGCTAGCCACATGAAACTTTGGCCTGAAACAAAAAGAAAGCCAGAGGCACCATGCAACCTCCCCAGAACGACGCCCTGCCAATGTAATGGACATTCAGCCGCTACAGAGGTGGGCAGATGTTAAACCCTAAGATAGAAAAGGGAGCATCCTCTGACGGTGAGTGTTTGCAAAGCTACGGTTAGAAAGCTTCAGATGAGCACCCACAGCATCAAGGGCAGTCAGTGAGCAGGGAGCGCCTTGGTGGCTCAGTGCAGCAGCGACGGACCTCTCCTTTCTCCCAAAGGCAGAGCACACCCAGCAGTAGACCTCGCTCACCGGCGCATGGCCAGACACCGCAGCCAGGGACAGAACTGAGAGCAGCACCCCTATCTCTGTGTGCTGGTCCTGCGTCCTCACCCTGTCCCCACAGCTGCCACCCACCAGGGACGGTCCCTCTGCAGTAGCCTACGAGTACAGCATTGGTAATCTCAGAGCAGTTCTCAGTGGAGGTGAGTCTACATCAATAAAACTGCCTTCACTAGCGGCACATTTGTTGGCTGTTTCAAGAGTGAGCGGCGGAGGATGATACACCTTCTTTTTGCATAAAAAAAGGAAGTGTTTTTTGCATGAAAGAGGGAGGTACAGCTTCTGAGAGAGCAGTAATGCATCAGTTACTGCCATCGTGCTGTAACCTCAACAGTAAAGAAAGGTCTTCAGTCTGCACAGCTGATAAAGCCTTCTTCAACACTTCACTACATTCACGTAAAAATGAACAGAAATGGAAATTTACTCAAAATATTTACCATAAAAGGTACACTTAAATCTTCTTTCAGTACTTACTTTTCCTGACTCCATGAGGGGCAAACTATGTGGAGATCCTCTTTCGACTAAACGAACTCTGTAAAATACATGTAAAAATAATATGCATAATACATGGTTGCGTTTATTTGCTTTTCATTAACAATTGTTTCTAAAAGGAACGGTTAATGGTCACAGAGATTAATGTTATTTTTGGAACAGATGAAGCTTATATCCTGTAGAACATAATTGGGCCCAATATTTAAACTTAGTCAAGACTTACGGCTGGGAAAATAATGAAAAAAAGATGTGTGTGAACATTTTCTTAAATATTAAATTCTTCAAATGTAGTTGGTGCCTTTTATTTGTTTTTGACAGACTTTTGTAAATGGAATTCCATGCACAAATTTATTCACAACAAGAGGGTCCTAAAATATTGATTTCCCACACGAACATCATAAATGCCAGGGCACAGACACAAAAGCATGTGAGCTGAGTGAGCAACCGCATTCCACGAGTAGCTAACAGTTAAAATCAAAGTCATATTGAAATAACTCATAACCTGGCCTCAGCTTCAAATCTGCATTTGCAATCTGTTAATTATTTTCAATGGACAGTGGTTGATAAACATTTTAATATTAAAAAAAAATCATTTAATGAAAAATGTTATTACTGCAGAGGTCAGACCCTTCCTCTGAGTGTGGCTTTCTGGTCCTCTCTCTTCCTTTCTTAGATAACTTATTTTCCCACTAAACGAGCAGAAAGGGCAGCTCTCCTTCAGTGGTATGATTGTCTGGAAGAAAATTCCTCATTTAACCTTAGAAAAGTACTCAGCAGGTCAGAATGAAAGAGACTTTGAAATAGCTGATGATCTCAGCCAGTAGATGGTGAAGGAAATTTGGTAACATCTAGGCATTCCT